CTGACACAGAGAGGACCCTAAAAACCTCCAGAGAGAGAACAGTTTCCACACAAAGAGGATGAATCAAAGTGGCCTCAAACTTCTCAATACCAAATGAGCTGGAAAGTAATGGAGTGGGACCCTCTTGTTCATGAAAGAATAGGACCTCATTTCCAACCTGGAATTCTATACCCTGCCAAACTGTCAATTGAGACTAAAGACATTTGCAGATGTTCAAGAGCTCAAATCTACGTGTCAGGAATCCCTCCTCAAGTGCAATAGGTAGGTGGGCTTCACCAGACTGAGAGAAAAAATCTAGGAAGAGGAAGACAGGGAGGGGCAGATGCCTTTTCCACAGATGGCCACCCATTCTCTCTCACCGCACCTGCTGTTCTGCAATGACCGTGTGCACGCGTGTGTGCATGCCTGTGTGCACATGGGCATGTGTATTTTTTTGAAGATTTTATTTACTTATTTGACAGAGACAGAGAGAGAGAGAGAGCCCAAGCAGGGGGAGGGGCAGAGGGAGAGGGAGAAGCAGCTCCCCCCTGAGCAGGGAGCCCGACAGGGGGGCTCGATCCCAGGACCCGGAGATCATGACCTGAGCTGAAGGTACACGCTTCACCGACTGAGCCACCCAGGTGCCCTGGGCTTGTGTGTTTTGAAGTTCCCTTTGAGGGCAGCAGGTCTCTTATCAGGGGTCCCGTTCTGGGCGGGGTCAGCCGCTTGGTATCAGAACCCCAGGAGAGCCTCTATCTCTGATGGCCACCAAGTGCCCTGAGCAACAAGCCCAACACCAGCCATGGGTTCCACTGGGCAGTGTCTGGGGCCAGGCGGGATGTGATCAAGACCCCCAGCCTTGTCTGGACAGTGTGAGACCTAGCTAGGCCCGTGACCTGTGTCCCGGGGACAGCGGGCTCTATCCTAAACTCTGTCCGGAGTCCCGCTGGGGCCTGCGCCAACGTCCAGCAAGGGTTCGTGGGACCTCTGGCAGGGCGCCCCATGGGTGGGCCCCACCGAGGATTGTGGGGGCACCCTGTGCGGACACGGGCGGAGGGCACCGCCCCCACTCCTGTCCGCCTGTGGAAACCCTCCGCCCGCCCCCGCCCTCCGGTGGGTCCGTCCCTCCACAGCGCGCACGGGTGGGGAGCGCGGGGACCTGACGCCAGGCGC